CTGAGAGGTCAAACCAGGAGGATTTCTGCAAGTCTGAGACCAGCCTAGACTACATAGAAAGCTGAACCAGGCCAATACCAGACTCGCCCCACAAATAATGTACAGGAGAATCTCAGCCCCCAAGCACTCTTCCAAACTCTGAAAACATAGCACTAAACAAGACAGATAAAAAACTAAGTTGGGTCCATGAGCATAAAGTTAGGGCTTCCAGTTAATACCAAGAATTACCTAGTGCGTATTACAAAAACACCAAACTTGCCATTTTCTTCGAATTTTATTTTCAGAATTCTCTCTCTTGTTAGAAGGGAATTTCTGTCCTCAGACAAGCAGCCAATGATTCTGGCAGATAAGATGCTTTTATGCTATTTTTTTCTATTATAAAAATCTACTTTGTTTCCCCTATTTTTCAAAGACTTTGCTGGAATCAAGACAGTCCTTCCAAAGAATAATCAAAAAGGTAACTGAACTCAAACAAAAACGAAAGGCCAAATGCTATCACAGACAGCAGGATTTCAGAATCACACAAGACCTAAGTTCAAATTCCAATTTTACACAAGTTCTATGGCCTTGGGCAAGTTATTCAATAGATCTGCAATTTCTGTACTTTTGTGTAGCTCAGTGGTAACAAACCTGGCATGTAAAAAGCCTTGAGTTTCTTCCACAGCAGAGAAAGAAGGAAAAAACAAAACAAAAAACCAAGAACATTTCAGGGTAGGTCAAAGAGCTCAGTAAGTGAAGGTACTTGCCACCTAGCCTGACAACCCAATTTGACCGCCAGAGCCCATGTGGAAAGAGAATCAACTCCATAAAATTGCCTTCTGACCTCTAGACAGGCATGTGCACCCATATATAAATATTCTGCGCTAATACACAAGCAATGCTCTTTTTAAACGCCCGCTTCAAACTCAGTTTACCTACCTTTGAAATGGGAATATTAAGAATTAAAAGGATAATTTCTAAAAGGACATTTTAAAGGCACAATGCTGGTGGAAAGTAACTGAAATGAAGGAAGATGCTGTTGTGACCATCACTACTGTTACAGTATACACTGACACAAAATAAATGCTAATATATTCTTTAACTCGGCGATAACGTTAGTAAAATTTAACACTTCATTAGTCTACATTTCTTTCAAGTAACAAAAAAGACCTACACAGTCTTCTAACACAGGAGTTACATAAATAAGTCTTCAAACCTGGCCAGCGGGATGGTTCGTGGGTAAGGCACTTGTCACACGCGCCTTACAGCCTGAGAGCAATCCCCAGAACCTAAGCTGCCTCTGACCGCCACACAGCAATCTTCTCGTGTAAACTGAGCGTGTGTGTGCGCACACACACACACACACACAAGTCCGCTGGCACACAAAATTCAGACAGACACCTTGACTTGATGCCATTCTAAACCAGAATGGGAGTAGTGGGAATGTAGCTCAGTAGTAAAGTGTTTACCCAGCCCACATGAGGCTCTTGATTCAAGACCCAGCACTACACCGAAAATCAGAATCAAGCCAAAAATGTATCCATGGAAGGAAGGAACGAAGGAAGGAAGAGCTAAGTTAAACCAGGATACATATTACTGTAATCAAAAGCAACATTTAATTCTTTACCCATTCTCAAAGATGAATCATTCAACTAAAAGACTGTAACTTCCTCCTCCTTTCTGAGTATCTATTTCTTTTTAATTTCTGAGAGAATCTCAAGTAACCTCATGTCACTCTTAAACTGCTATGCAGCTGAAGCTGGCCTTGAACTGTCCCTCCTGCCTCCGTCCCCAAGAGCTGTGATTACAGGCGTGAGACAGACTACTCTCTCAGAACATATGTACACATATATTTTAAAAGTAGTTTTAGATTTATTTTATGTGTACCGAGCACAGGCATTGCCTAGTACCCATGGAGGTGAGAAAGGTCATCAGCCAGGACTTACAACCACTGAAGCAACTCTCTAGCCCTATTTTTTTTTTTTAAACCAGACTCATAAAGGCCAGACTGACCTCAAACTTGCTATGTAGCCCAAAAGCCCAGGCCGACTTTGAATTTCTGATCTTTCTGCTTCTGCTGCCAAAGTTCTGGGTTTACAGGTGTGTGTCACCACACACTTGACTTTTCATTCTTTTAAAACTTCCAGAAGCCGTCTAATAGAATGGTATTGTCAGAGGCAGTCATAATTGTTTGCCCAGCAAAGCACACTCACAGCAATTAGAACAAGCTCAAAGGGAATGTCTGTAACAGTCACTTACATCTCAGAGTACCTGAGGCATTATCAGGAGTGTCTGCCCTCTGTTTAAAAGGCTCATCTCTGAACTGTTCATGTAGACACTCACAGCCTTTTTCTCCCTGTCGATCCCTTTTACGGGTAGATGACCCTGACCAACACTTCTATGCCAAGTACATGGCATGAAAGCAGCCCAAACTCAATGTGTATAAAACTAAGCTTACCTCAGCCTTCCTGTGGCCCTGTGTCTTGTAAGTGGTATCACTCAACCGCACAAAATAAGATCTACTATTTTCCGAAATCTCTCTCTACCATCACTCTCTCTTCCAAGAACAAACCAGTCTAAAACAAAGACCTAATCATTTTATCACTCCAACACCACACAATATCTACCACATCTCCATTACCATTGCCTCTGACCTACACCAACAGTCTCTATCAGCTGCTCGTGACTTCTCACGCCCAGTGAAAACCCGCCTACTCCAAACAATACAGATGAGCCTCCTCAGTACCCAACAGAGTATCCAGATTTTGAGAATTTGAAGATCCCTCCATCCATTGATCTTGGAAGCACTAAAGCCGACTGGCCTTCAAGGCTAATACTGTTCTGGCTCCAATCAATAACTCTATAATAAAAACAGAGTGACCTGTTGCATTCCATCACTCTCGGGTGAATGTTCAAAATTCTAAATCCACTTCCTACCTCTACTTGGCATGACACAGACCTCTCTGGTCTCTGGTCCCTCTAACCAGTCATGATACCACTCATTCCCCATCTTGGCCTTTCTACATCAGCCCTCAGGAACATCTCAACAGAAAGATGAATCTTAGTCTCACTTTGAAACAAGTTAGCTTCTGTTGCTATCATTCACCTCCATACTCATGCAAAATTACAACAGACTGATAACTGGACTTAAAATACAGTTAAAGAACTTTTAAGAATGATTTATTTCAGCCAGGCGGTGATGGCGCATGTCTTTAATCCCAAAGCTCAGGAGACGGAGACAGATGGATCTAGACTTCAAGGTGAGCCTGGTCTGCAGAGCTAGTTCCAAGACAGCCACAGCTACTCAGAGAAACCCTGTCTCAGTGAGGGGAAAAAAGATTTATTTATTTTTATTTTGTGTATAAGTGTTTTGCCTGCATGTGTGCCTGGTGTCCTTGGAGGTCAGAAGAAGGTGTACGATTCCCTGAAACTTGAGTTACAAACAGCCTTGAGCCACCATGTGGGTGCTGGGAATCAAATCCAGATCCTCTGCAAGAGCAATAAGTGCTCTTAACCACTGAGCCATCTCTCCGGCTCCATTATGGTATTTTTATTCCCAAACTAAAAGATAAGTTCTGCAAGAACAAAATAAGATCGGTCTTGTTTATCACTGTATCTCACAGCCTAAAAGAGAAGCACTTACTTAAGAGGTCATCTTGTCACTGTTCTCTGAGTCCCCTAGAAGACCTGACATTATCAGCCAACAACTTAACATTCCAAACTTCTCCCTCACAACTGTCTTCTGCAGGGGCGCCGGCAAAACTCCATCCACCCTCTGGCCTCCACCACTCTGTCTGCACCTTTCTTTCTATCTGGATTCTTTTCCCCAGTTGCACATTTGCAAATCCTACTGAACCTCAAATGCCCAAGTTCAAAGCCACTTCCTCCTCCAAATCTTCTCTACCTAACCATAGCAAGCCACACACTCTCTGCCCCTTCATTTCCAGAGGTGCTCCTGTACCCCCTTCAGGTCTCAGACCAGACAGCACTCACATGAGTGGTTTCTAACCAGCTGGTCAGAATCCTGTTAAGACCACCTGCTTGTATTCTGTTGATAGCTACTGTCTAAAATTATCTCGCTCGTCCCTTTTGCCTATCTTCTTGTCAACTGCCTGTCACCCTTCTGTAGAGCGTACGATCAATGGGAGCAAGAGCCCTATTTGTCATTGTTCACATTTCCTCGCTCTCCCATGTCAGTTGGAGAACAGAGTCCACAAATACCTGCCAAAGATATGAACGACTCTAGTTCTTCTAACTTGGGAGTCTGTACATAAACTTCCCTTGCTGTATTCCTAACTTCTTGTGAACCACACCAAACTCCGGCAAATCTATCTACTTGTGTGTATTATCAAGAAATCCTGTCACAATCCTGTCACAATCCTGAAGCAAGTAAGAGATAAATGCTAATTAATTAATAAGTGATCTCTCCAAGAGGTTCTGCCAGGCCAACTCGTAAATGTATGTTAAGGGGAACCCTGGGCTAACAGGAATCTCCTCTCTGGACAGCCCGTTCCAATATGCCACCAACAGTGAGGACCCCAAAAACTGGTTTCTTCACTTCCCTTTGAACGTCAAACACTGGTAGGTCTATCCTAAAATCTCACAATCCAGCGCTACCCTTCTGTTTCCACCCAACATGTCACTTCCACTACTGTGTTTCTAGGTACTTACATCTCCAGTCTCTTGGGATGATAAAGGTAGTACTGACGGACTGGCTTGCTTGACATCTTCTCCTTTATACCTCGTTTATCCTAAATAGACCGGTTTTCAGGGCCGGCTTTTATACTCTTCAGGACCCAAATCTAACCCACAGCAGCAACAAAATGCCTCCAGAGTGTTCCCATTCCTCCTCAGCCTTCCACCACAGTAAGACCCCAAGGCGACAAATGAACGTCCCTCCCAAGAGGCAAGCGACCATCAAACACAGTGGGGCAATCCCTATCCTACCGAGTTCATGCCCCCCACCTGCCTTGGGCCTGGAACGTCGGACTGGGCCTGCACCCCTCACGCCCCGCACTCACCTGAAGCGGCCCCCGCAGTGCTGGCATTGCTCGCCCACCCAGCCCGCGGGGCAGACGCACTGCCCAGTGCCAGGGTTGCAGCGGCCGCCGTTGACACACGGCCGGTCACATTCCTTGGCCTCGGCTGCGGCCGAGCCTGACACCGCCGCCGCCACCGCCGCGGCCTCGGCCTCCCGGGGCAGCAGCAGCAGCAGCAGCGAAAAGAACAGCGGCAGCAGCAGCGGCGGGGGCAGCGCCCGCGACAGCACCCACGGGAGACACAACCCGGCGCGCGGCCCCGGCCTCCAGGCCCCAGTCGAGGCGCAGAGTCGGTGCTGCCCGACCTTCCTGCCCGCGGGCGCTGCTGTCGCCTCCGTGCTCCCCTTCAGCAGCGTCTCAGTCGCCGCCGCCGCCGCCGCCGCCACCATCTTCCTGGGGCTGAGCCGGCGCCCAGCGAACACATACACACCCCGCACGCCGGCTCTGCTTCGCCTGGCCGTGCTGGGCGGGGCCGAGCGACGGTGGCCCGACCAGTCCATACCCAGGGCGGGGCTCGGGCTACGCCGCGAGCGGGGGCGGAGCTGGCGTGCGCGGTGGGCGGGGCCAGCGCCTGGGTCCTCGGGCTTGCAAAGTGTCAGATCTGACTCAGTCCCAGGGTCTTGGCGCGGCTGAACGCCTCTAGGGTGGCAGAAGCCCTTTTCTTTTCACGTCGCGCCACACCATAAGATAGCCAGTGCCTCCCTACGGCGGCTGCCTGGCTCTGCTACACAAGGTGACTGCGGTAAGTGTTACCCTTGGGATGCCTCCCGCCCATCAGCCGGTTTCCCCAACAACATCTTGGTGAGAGACAGGGCTTCGAAAAGGCTGCCTAATGGTGTGGTATGTGCTAGCTGCGACCCTGCAGAAGTAGTCCTGCATCCGAGTTTCTAAAATAGGGATAACGAAATGGCGCGTGTGTTAAGAATCTGGCATTTGAATAACTGTGTAACAAATGGAATGCACACACATCCAGGCCTCCCCTACCAGACCTATGTACACCTTTAATGAGAGGGGAGAAGTGTGAGGTTGTCTTGTACCCCACGACCTACCCATACTCTCTGAAGAAATTACAGCCCAGAATTACCTGGAGCACTGCCAGCTTGCACATCAGCTCCAGAGAGAGCCCTTCTTACTAACTTCTTACTAACTCCCCCTCTTCTCTCAACAGTATAACCTTGTGTGGTCCTCTACCCTGGAATCCACACTGGACCCTTGACTTCACTGAGCCAGCAGAAGAATGTAGGGAAGAGATAATGGGTCAGTTCCAGCTCTGACCTTAACTTTTTGTTGTTTGCTTTAGGTTTTTTTTTTTTTTTTTTTTTTTCTTTTTCTGGAGATGCTCCTGCTCTTCCAGCTGGGAAAGATTCCTGCAGAGGACAAGTGGAGAGGAAATGCCCCAGGCATTTGAACCTTGTGAGCCCTTCCTAACTGGAAGGTCAGTCATTTCGTGAAGAAGCCATCTGGGTTGTTTTAGCAATCTGTATTAGTCAGGGTTCTCTAAAGGAACAGAACGGATATAATGAATATATCTATATACACGTTATATTATATTATTATATATTAGGTTGATTAGGTTGGCTTACAGGATGCAGTCCTAGGATTCAATAGTGGTTGTCTCACACTAGAGAAGATGAAAGTCTGGTAGTTGTTCGATCCACAAGCCTGGACTCAGCAGTCCCAAATTGGTGCTGGAGTCCTAGAGGAGTCTTTGGGAGCTGCTGGTCTTCAGTCTACACTGGAATTCTAAAGAAGTCGGTTCTAATATTGGTGAGTTGATGCCTCAGGAACAGGGTAAATGAACTTGCCGCCAAAAGTGAGGGCAAGCAGGCAAAAGCAAAGTTTCCCTCTTCTGTGTCCTGTTATCTCAGCTGTCCTGAGAGGCGCTGCCCAGATGTAGGGTGAGTCTTCTTGCTTCCGATAATCTGATTAAGACAATTCTTCGTGGTTGGGTGGTGACACATACCTTTAATCCCAGCACTAGGGAGGCAAAGGCAGATGGATCTCTGTGAGTGTAAATCCAGCATGGTCTAAAGAGTGACTTCCTGGAGAGTAAGGGCTACACAGAGAAATCCCCTGTCTTTAACAACAACAAAAAAAAATTCTAGCTGATTCCAGATGCAGTCCAGTTGACAAGATTATTCATTGTGCCTACATTATCTAAAATAGGAACAAATCTAGCCAGGCAGTGGTGGTGCATGTCTTTAATCCCAGATATATCTCTGTGAGTTCGAGGCCAGCCTGGTCTGCAGAGCAAGTTCCAGGATAGATAGATACATAGATGGAACAAATAGGAACAAATCTCTCCTACTATGCCTAATCCAGTGATAAACCCTTTGCTATTTCAAGCCTGCTTTAAGGAGGTTAATCAGAACTTTGCCTCTTAACTCTTGGACTGTGCAGAATATACCTGTGCAGATACTTCGGAGTTTGGACATCTGTTTCTGGGAAGGAAAGGAAACCTCAAATGCACCTATGGGAGCTTTCTGATTAACCTACAGGATTCTAAGAACATCTTCCCAGACCTGCCCCAGCGTCAGGCTCAGGTCCTGACCTTCCCCCTCTGGTGGAGCTGAAGGCTCCAGCTCCAAACACTCGAGCTCTGGGTTCTAGTTTTCACGTTTATTTGCATCCTCTTCCCACCACCGCCCCCTGCAGTGTCCTAGGTAAGGCTGTTTGGAAAGCATTAGAAGGTGTGGCCTTGCTGGATGATGTGTGTCACTGGGAGGCTGGACTCTGAAGTTCCAAAGCCCATGCCAGGCCCGGTCTCATTCTCTCTGCCTCCTCTCTCAGCTCCTGCCTGTGGACCGGGATGTAAGCACTTAGTACCACGTCAGCCTGCCTGCCACCACACTTCCTGCCATGATGATCACGGATTCACCCTCTGAAACTGTAATTAAGCCCCAATTAAATGCTTGCTTCTATAAGCTGCCTTGGTCATGTTGTTTTTACACAGCAGTGGAACAGTAACTAAAACAGGGCCCATTCTCATTCAAACCGCCACATGACCTGTGAGCAGTGCTTACACAGATGGGTTAATTAATGCCTCTGCCACCTGGGTTCTTACTCTCCTGACACTGGATTAGTTTCCAGGAGACCAGGTTATTGTACAGTGAGTTCAGCTACCTTGGGTTTCTCTTGCTTCTCTCTGTATATATTCCCTTTCCTGCTTCTTTCCGCTGTAGGTTGACACACAAGGCTCTTAGTACATCATAATCAACCTTTTCCTTATCATTTTCCAACTTCAGATACTGTGTTTTGTTTTGGGTCTTTGTTTGTTTGTTTACTTGCTTTTTGGGAGGTTTTTTTTTTTTGGGGGGGGGAGAATTTTTCTGTTTAGCCTTGGCTGGCCTTGAACTCACAGAGATCTACCTGTCCCTGCCACCAGTACCCAGCCAGATATTGTTAATAACAACAGAAAATGGACTAAGACAATTAATTCCTCTAAAACTGAAGCCTGAAACATCATTTGAAGAAATGACTTATTAGGAGAATGCTATCATAAGAAGCACAGTGAAAAATCAGGAAAGGTAGCCAAGCAAAGTTGTGGTCTTTCTTATTGGAACTGAAATTCAGCCTGATCCTGAGGAGAACCTTGGAATGTGAATTGTGCCAGAGTTAAATCTACTTTGAAGTAATGGAGGGACATCCTGCCCCTATCTCATTAAGCAGACAACACTAACAATAAGAAGGAACCATATAAGAAAATTTGATAGGCGTGCTAATAATATAGTTGTTGTATGTCTACTGAGTACAACACCTACAGTGAAGCAAGGTTAATTGTTGCCCTATTAAGAGCTATCTGATTGGCAACCTGACTTTTCCCAAGCATCCCCAGACCTCTTTAGGCACATTGAAAACATCAGTATATTTTGGTATTCCAAACGTCACCTTATATTTTAGTTTATGTGAGGTTAGCTGTTTCTCTGACTGTAATTGTCATGATTTCACCCAGCAGGTAACCAGTAGGTCCTGTGCGACCTCTGAAAGAGGCTGATCCTGAAAGTTTAGAAAATGCACACTGGGAAGGCTCTAGATAGTAATGAGGCTCTGTTGGAAGCTCCCCTGGGTATCCCATGTGAGGAATGAAGAAAGAGTCGATTTATAGATGTAAGGTCCCAGCTAGTCCTTAGCAGACTCTAAAGAAACATTTTCAGAAGACCTCGATCTGCAAACATAGGGTCAGTCTCTGAGCTATTGGCAGAGTTCCCTCTGGACTCACAAGTAAGCCCTATAAGTACAGGAAATGACCTTTAGATATACTCAAGGGCTCACCAGGTTTTAAGATCCATCAGTTTAAAGTCAGAGGACTTGAAATTTCCTCCTCTATGTAGTCCTTTGTTTTGTGGTGCTAGGGGCCAAACCCAGGACCTTGAGTGTGCTGCACAGTTACTCTGCCATTAAGGTACAGCCCAAGCCTAGAGTTGAAGTTTCTATTGGATGAGCTGGATTTGCCCCTCCTCCAAATTGCTGCAACAGAGAACAAGAGGCTTTTCCTACATATAGAATAGATATCACAAAAACAGCAATATTGTTGAAAGAGATAGTTTTTCTAAGTGTGTCTGTAAAGTAGAACATAATATTAGAAGTCCCCAGGTTTTTTTTTGTTTTTTAAATATTTATTTATTTATTATGTATACAATATTCTGTCTACGTGTATGCCTGAAGGCCAGAAGAGGGCACCAGACTTCATTATAGATGGTTGTGAGCCACCATGTGGTTGCTGGGAATTGAACTCAGGACCTTTGGGGTTTCATCATCTTGGTTCCCTGTGGATGTCCAGGCAGGGAAGTGAACTGTGAAGAGATGAGAATGAAAACTCAGCTCAGATTGACTTCATCGAATTGGATCAAGACTTCAGGGAGTCTGATGGCATGCAGTTTATTCCCAACAAATTTAAACACAGTATAATTTGGAAAAAATGTTTCCTGGTGTAATACAAATCCCTGGTGCACAAAGAGGCATAATTACATCAAAACTCAACTTGGAGTACATGTCATTTCCTTCCAGAAGTTGGCTTCTAGAGATAGCTTAAGGGCCTAGGGAAAGCACGGACCTGGTTTTAGCCATGCAGATAGGGTAGAGGTCATTTGGGCTGTAAGCCATCTCTGATCCTGGTTGTAAAGTTTGGTATGGCCTGGCCCAACAGATAACACAGATCACCAGGCTGTTAATCTCTTCCAGTTCCTAGCTTTCTGGATGGAAGAACAGGTTTTTACATTTTTTTCCCCCACTGGAAATCCTGATTTCTCTGAAGATCTGTGGAGCAAGGACCTTCATGCTGTGCTCCCAAACCCATAGAGGCCTTGGTGGTTCTAAGAGAGGTTTTTCAGAAGGAAAGAGAAAATATGGCTGTTCTTAAAATGAAGGAGTTTATGCTCAAGATGAACCTGAATTCTACTTAGGTGAGACGCGCATGTGTATAAAGCAAAGAAGGAGGAGGAGGAGAAGGGGGAAGGGGAAGAGGAAAA